TAATAGACACTCAGTGTTACTACTACTAAAGCTTCTATCATCTTCTTGTTTAAGTATGTCATTTCAACAGATGTTTATTGAACATGTTCTGATGTGAAGGACTAAATCCAAAAAGGTAATTATCTTTGCATTCACAGAAGCAGGAATCTAATGTATCCAGCAATAAGATGAAAATACTGTATTTAGAGACAATAACCAAGTGTTGCTAGAGCCTAAAGAATTTTGACAAGGAGAGACCTGGTAGGTTCCATAGAGCAGATGGTATTTTAACTGAACCACAGAACATAAACAGAATTTGAAAGGGGAAAGAAAGTGATCTACATTGAAGGAAGAGCATTGGCAAAAGCAGGCAGGATAATAAAATATAAATCATTAGTCACCAAGTACTCTCATGTGGGGGAAGATCCAGTAGGAGGTAAGACTAAAACAGCAGGCTGGAGGCACATCATGCAAGCCCCAGAAAAGCTATGTTAATTCTACCATGCAGGCAAGTTCTTCATGGGTAAATGGCATAACCCCCAAAAATTCACTAATAAAACTTAATAGAACTGTAAAGGGTGGTGTTTTAAGTAGTAAAAATAAGGGAGCTGGGGGTGGAACAGAGTCAAAAAGTTACTAAAATCATCCACAGAAGATAGTCTGATTTCAGACCAAATTCAAGTTATATATAAAATAGGAGTGGAACTCCCAATTATATAGAGGGTTACCAAAAGTTATGAGCATAAATGACATGCCCTATAGTTTTCTCAATCCAAAATATAGACAAGTTGATACCACTAGTATTTTGAGCTACAAAAATACCTAAGCTGACCAGTAAAATGCTATCTAGTAGATACCACATATGAGTTTGGCCGTATTTTTAGATTTTATACTTCATAGAACATAGGTTGGATTTAAAAGGAGAAGAAAAAAAAACTGGAGGAGACAGAAAAATACCTTATTCACTTCTGTTGGGTCAGGGTCTTTGAAGGTAAGAAATTTAATCTCACAGGACTTGGTCAAAGGCTTATACATGCCCCATAGTTGTCCGTCCACAAGAGCCAAAATGGATTTCTTGCAGTACCACTCACTTAAATCTAGGAATACAAAATTGATTGGTGCTATAAATCTAACAAAATCCAAAGTGAAAAGCTACATGTTTAAGTGCTACATTCTGAGACAATGAAAAGCAAAATTCTGCCAATTATTTTTGCAGAAATATTATATATTATACATATGATGAATTTAAAAAGAAAATATCAACACACAGAGACATTATTAACCAATTACCCAAACCTTTAACAAAATTTATTAAAGCTAAGTGTAGTCTTAAGTTAATTTGCCAGTTAATAAGATAATCTTCAAAGACCTATAATTAAATATTCAAAGAGAAACAACATGGATACATGGCTTGATTCATACACAAGTCAGAAGAAAAGGAAAATATATCTACACTCACATAAATCTGTTTAAATTATCCTTGAGTCTTGCTCCCAAACCACCTCTTTCTGCCATTATTCCATTACAGACATTTCAAACTAAATAATATTACCACTGTAAGATTATAAATATGAATTCATATGTAAACCAATCAGCTCTAATCTGTTCCATTGCCCTACCCTAAGAAATTCTAATTCTAATCACACATTTTACATGTACTCACAAAAATGATCAAACTAGAGTCTAACATATACACCAGTACAAAGGTTCCGTAACCAGGGTCTTAGGGGTCAAGATGAGGATGGCTCAGAAACTTCACCTCTGCAGACGGTATGTAGAGAGCTCCATTCCGGCCTTAGGTTTGTCTTACCCTCCTCTGTAATCTCCTACTGTCTACCACAGCACAGGCTAAGAAATACATGAAAATCAAATGACTAATTATCATCATGCTTGTTTAAGTGTCAAGAGTAGAGGGAGATTGAGTATGCGTGCCTTCAACCAGTTTCAGCTGGCAACTAATCCTGTCAGTTACTTAAATGATATTACTACTGAGTCTCTTAAAGTTTAAACTACACAGCCAATCATTCCTATCTACTATTTGGGAGATATTTAAATTTAAATATCATATCTATCAAAGCCCTACCCAAATGTCTTTAGCCCCTTCATTTCCACACCAAATCATATGTAAGCCCAAGGATCTCTCTAACAGTACATACAAAACAATTAACTTTAACATTCACTCCACTTCACATTTCCATTCATACATTTAGTACCTATACTAAACAAAACCACAACACAAGGGGCAGAGAGCAAGCAGATGAGCGTTATATTCGGCTAGAAAAAAAGAGCTAAAAAGGAAAAGGTAGGAAAAAACAAAAACTCAAAACACTCTAATGAGACCTGCAGGATAAATGCCCCCAATACATGGAAAGAGAGTTTCACCAGCACCAAGCACCCTAAGTTTAGTCATGGCCAAGCAAACTTGGAGACAACCTGTACCTCACAGAAATGCTGCAACATCCACGGTACCCACAAAGTAAAAGGGCCCGTGATCGACAATAAAGCGCCAAGTAAATTCTATAGCTTCACAAAGCAATTACAGGATTTTCTCCTCTGTGGTGTTCTACATAGCTCGTGTAAAATGATCAAAACTGTACGCTGATTCTGCTACTTACGCATGGCGCAACTGTAGGGAGTTGAAATGTTTTTATTCATCACGAAGACAGTGCCCGGATCAGTTTTCCCAACATGCTTAACCTCGATCTTTTCTGTTCGGGGAGTTAACGATAACTGCCTACTTTTCTCTTTATTAAAAAGATCATTCTGCATTTCTGTCAGTTCGGTGGGTGACAGCTGAGCAGCTGGCGATGTCGCTATAAATCCTAGGGGAAGAAAAAAAAATCAAAGACTGAATAAGTAAGTAGCTTACTGTGGGCCTGTAACAAGTAGAGAAAGCAACAGAATTTTGCAAAACATAGGTCAAAATTTCGACCGGGGCATACTTATACCACTTTATAGCATGAATAATTTAGCTAGCATAGGCGCACACCTCTGGTTTTCTCTCACATGACCACCGATCTCCTCAGTGGCGTCCCAAAACCAAGCGGGAGGAAACTACACCAGACAGTGGGGAGGAAGCAATGTTGGAGCTGGAAAGGGTCTGGGAGGGGCCAAGAAAGCTCCAGGAGAGCGGAGAGCCCATGCCCAAAAATATCTGGCACGAGAAACGCTGAACTTTTCCTCCAAACCCCAAAGCAAGGGACCCGGCCAGGCCAGAGGAGATGGGGACGTGTTTGCAGGAGACTGGGGCTCCTTCCTAAAAGCCCCGCAAGCGCCGCCCATGCCCGCGTCCCTTCTCTTTCCCCGATTCCTGCACCCCTAGACTGTCTTCCCAGGCTGGGAACGCAAAAACTCACTGCAGCGGGTCCCGCCGCCCCGGCAGGGCCGCCAGAGCAGCAGCCGTCCGACCGTAGTAGCCATGGCCTCCAAGGGAACCAGGGGAGCCGCTGAGCCCGGGTCCTTCTCTTCCCGCTTCCCCCCCGGAAACCAGGAACGCGCCGCAGTGGTTCCGTAGGACCACTCAGTTCCGGACCCCGCGCTGAGGCTGCCCGGCGCCACACGGGGGCGCGTTCGCGCTTCTCTGAGGATTAATCAACCACCCTTGGTCACAGAGCAGGGAATGTTCTCCAAGGTGCAGGGACCAGCCGGTGCTAGGCTGCTGAGAAACAGAGATGTCTCCTGTACAGGAGAGTCACACGCGCGCCTTTGTCCTCCGAGGGTTCCAGTTTCCGGGCAGAAAAGTTAGGGGAGGACTTTCTGCTTTGCTTTTTTTAACAGTCTGGCCAATCACCCGGGATACAACTCTAGATAGCAAAAGCAAGGGAGAGTTTTCAGGTCGTCTGCAGTGGGTCTGTGCCTGGTTTCCCATTTGGTCGACCAGGTTTCTGTAGTCTTGGAAACACATCATGTTGATTTTTGGAGAGATCTCCTAGAACTCTCTGCGAATGATCTAGGCAAGTTTGCATGGAGTCCTTAAAGAGAGCGGAAGTGAACTGGAATTTGAGTCTCCTCTGTGGATGGATCCCCAAAACGCAAACCGTACTGCCCGGTTGGTTCTCAGCAAATATTTGTTATGACTGTGCATACAAAAAACACCGCTGCGTCTAACGCCTTTGTGGCGCACCGTGTTACTGTTGAAACAGCATTCTATACTTATGTAAAGCTGTACCAATATAGTCTTCATAAATTTAGCCAGGGACTTCCACATGACCTCTTCTTTTAACTTGGCGGTGGAGTACACCGCCACCAGGTGCAAGTGTCAGCTGGGACACAATACTATGTCTTAGCCACAACAAATGTGCTGTGTCCTTGCCCCAAATAATACATATTTACAACTGCGTAGGGACAGTGTTAAGACCCGTCCTCAACCTTAAGGTAAGTTTGAATTCAACCATTTTACGAGGCTATCTCTCATGTAATATCCTGATTCGGTCGGGGATGGTTGATGCACACCTGCCATCCCTCCTCAACGAGGCTTAGGCAGGGGGACCAGAGCTGGAGGAGCTGGAGCTGTTTGACAGACCTTTTCTCATCAACAACAAAAATTTTAATTCTAATCTGAAAAAGTGTGCGCATGCGTGTTACTTCCTTAAATGGACTATGGTTCCCTGTAAGCTTTTGGTTTCACCAGCTTTTTCAAAACTATGTCCATTTAACCTCATCTAGAAGGGCTAAGGTTTGAACTCAGAGTTCCACTTACCTCTGCCTTCTGGGTGTTAGGACTAAAGGCATGTGCCACCACACTCGTTAATGAGGCTCTTATTGCCTAAATTTAGAACAGTTTCTCTCCACCACCTCCCATAGGCTCATAGGGAGTGCCACTATTAGGAGATGGTGGCCTTGTTGGAGGAAGTATGTCACTGTGTCGGTGGGCTTTGAAGTTACATTTATGCTCAAGCTACACCCAGTGTCTTAGTTCACTTCCTGTTGCGTGAGCAAGATATAGAACTCTCAGCTCCTTTTCCAGCACCATCTCTGCCTGCAGGCCACCATGCCCCACCGTGATGATGGTGGACTGAACCTCTGAACTGTAAGCAAGCAACCTCAATTAAATATTCTCCTTTATAAGAGTTACCATGGCATGGTGTCTCTCCACAGCAATAGAAACCCTAACTAAGACAACCCCTTTCATTATTTTTTTTTAATTTAGCATACAAAGCATTGGGTTTGTTACAGTAATTTCATGTCATTAAACATTTCCAATTGTTCCCCTCCTGTGCTCGACTTGCTGATTCCTTCCCTCAGATTGCCCACTCTTAGATAACACTGGGTTTCGAATTGGTGTGTTGGTAGGGTCTTCTGAAGAACAGATACAAAGGCAGAGTTCAGTATGCAAGGATTTTAGTAACAAGAATTATGATAAAAAAATTAAGATATACTTACTAAAAAGCATCAAGTCCATAGTAATGTTCAAAATTAAATGACAGTAGGGAATGAAGGAAACAAATTCTTTACCAATAAAAAAAAAAAAAACATTGCCCAGCTTCTTTCTTGAAACAGGATCTCTCACTGGGCTGGAACTCACCAAATAATCAGGTTGTCTTGCTATCTAGTCCCAGGAATCCAAATCTGCCTCCCAATGCTACAATTACAAAGGTGTGCTTCTAAGCCTACCTTTTTTACATGGGTTCTAGGGCTCAAAGTCAGCTGCTGGGGGTTACATGTCAATCACTTTACTGATTGAGTTACCTCTCTAGTCCTGAAGTTCAGCTAGCTAATCTTAAGTATCACTTAACTAACCACAGAGCAATAGATGTCCCTTTTCAGTGGGGCAAATGTGTGCTATCTCCAGGGCCTTTGATTTTGTTTTTCAAAAATTTGCATTATTAATCCCATCATTTGGTTTTATATTTCAAATTATTAAACATTTGTTTGAATGAAAAAAATTTTAAAACTCTTAGAAGTGCATTGTGAAGCATTTTCATCCCAGCTCTTTTTACACACACACACACACACACACACACACACACACACACACAATCCTAAAGCTTCTCTAAACTAAGCCAAATGTATGTCTTTATTCTCACTCTTTTGATCCCAAATGCAACACACCAAACATTTTCTGTGACTGGAAAAACTATAAAGTGTATGTCAGCGGAGTCCATAGAGGAACAAGATTCAGCACACAACTGGGAAAAGGCAGAGTTCAGTATGCCAAGATTTCAGTCAGGGGAAATGCCTGTGTCTTAGGGTTTCTATTACCATAATAAAAGATGACCAGAAGCAACTTACAACTCTCAGCTCACACTCCATCACTACAGGAAGTCAAGGCAGGAATCTGAAGGCAGGTGCTGAAACAGAAGCCATGGAGGAGTGATGCACAGTGGCTTATTTGCCCTAGATTTCTCAGTTTGCTTTCTTATATTCCCGGGACCACTTCTCCAGGAGGGGGACCACTGAAAATGGGCTGAGCTCTGCTACATCCATCAATTATCAGGAAAACACTCCCATAGATTTGCCTGAAAAGCCAGCTTATGGAGGCATTTCCTCAGTTGAGGTTACCTCTTCTAGAAAACTAACCAGGACAGCCTGTGAAGGAAATAAACAAGCAGCCACGTAAGGCTGACCACACATAAGTTTCGAAGGAAGGAAAATTAACCAGACATGTTTTTGGCCACCCAGATAGTCTAAAGATCTGTCAGAACCATCATGGAACCTTGAGTCCATGAGTCGTGGGAGCTAGCTTGCCTCAGTCTCCCTTCCACGTTTCGTGTTTTACTGGGAGCAGCTCCCGAGAAGTGGGGACTGTAGCCTCAGAGTACACATGGTGATGGGTTTTAGAATTCATTAGAAGGCTGAGGATCAGCCACAGTACCTGTAATTTGGGGGGCGGCGGGAGAAGGTCTCTGAGGCACATGAAATGAGTTGCAAGATCTAGTAATTTATGGAGCAGTTGATATGCATTTTACAGGCCTTAAATAACACACACACACACACACACACACACACACACACACACACACACACACACTTTCACCTTTTTCTTTGCATCAAGGCTCTATTCCTACCTGATTTCAATGATGCAAACTACTGTGAAATAACACAAGATTAAAGCGAATAAAAAAAATTCCCTCTCTGCTGATAGATGACCCCAAGGAGTTAAATTGTATGGTTCCTCTACTATGTTTCTTTATCGACTCTTTATGAACTGAGTTGGCTATGAACCTGTCTATGTGTTAGATGTTCCTGGAAAGAGAAAAGACTGTTGAATGTAAAAATGTACACAAAGCCAGGGACATAGCTGAGTGGTAGAATGCTTACCTAGCATGCACATAGCTCTGGGTTTGATCCCAGCACTGCAAAAAAGATAAAAATAAAAAATAGAACAAATATGTACAATACAATTGATTCCTTCAATTATCATTCCTGTTTTCACCACCCCTGTTATTCCTTAAGCATAAGAAAATCTTATCAGTTCTTTCCTAATATATAGAGGGAATCAGATATAAACCAACAAGGTATAACAATTCTTATAGATAATATTTTTCTGAAAAAGATAGATAATAATGTTATACATGTATGTATGTTTTTCTAGCCTTCATTCTTAAACAAAAATAATGTTTATTTAAAATGATGATGATTCAATAATTGTTGAAAATTACAAATAAAATCACAAGTTGGAGAGATAATGCAGATAATTTATTCCATTCCTCCCCCTCAGTTAGCAGCCAGACAAAGTGAATCATAAAGGGACTGGTATTTGGCTCAAGGTCATCCAGAATGCTAGTGTGGCATCTGGGTTTCTTGGAAACACTAGAGTATGCCAAAAATGCTAGGACTCCTGAAGCATGTGGCATGTGGTCTTTAAACCATTCAGAATTTTATCCCAGTGTGTGACAGCCACATAAAAATCCTACACTTCATAGTTTGGAGAGAACATCACAAGAATTCCCACTCCCATTTCTTTAAGATTTCAAAGATGTACGAATTTTTCAAACATATGTTCATAGGAATTTTCTTTGAATGAGAGAGACAAATATGTTCCCTTGAGACGGGAACCCTCACCCTTCTTCAGATGGAGAGAGCCTATTAGACCAATCAGAATACAAGCTCATATAAAGTTTTAGGATGGAAGTGCATGGGTCCTGGCGAATAGAGTCAGAATTGGTTAGAGTTTCTTTTCTTTTTCATGAGTGCATGTGTTGTTTGAATCTTATATGGTCTTTTAATAAAAATCCCAGAGCCAGATATCAGGGTGAAAGCTGGAAGATCAGAGAAACAGAACCGCCAGCCACTAGTTCTTATCTCTATAAATCCTCAGCCTAAAGAGAGTAAGTTCCTGTTTCCTCACACTTTATATACCTTTCTCTGCCCAGCCATGTCACTTACTGGTTTTAAAGGCATATGTGTTTCCCAGTACTGGGATTAAAGGTGTGTGTGCTTTCCAAGCAAAGGCATGAGAACTCAAGTGCTGGGATTAAAGGTGTGTGCCACCACTGTCTGGCTCTGTTTCCAGTATGGCCTTGAACTCACAGAGATCCACATGGATCTCTGCCTTTCAAGTGATAGGATTAAGTGTGTGTGCCAACACTATCTGACCTCTATGTCTAATCTAGTGACTGGCTCTGTCCTCTGATCCTCAAGGCAAGCTTTATTAGGGTACACAATATATCACCACATGCCATGTCTCGTGTGTGTGTGTGTGTGTGTGTGTGTGTGTGTGTGTGTGTGTGTGTGTGTGTGTGCGTGCGCGTGCGCACGCGCGCACTGGTGCGTGAGAGAGAGAGAGAGAGAGATTCCCCTGAATCCCTTTATCTTAGTTTTACAAGGTACCAGTTGTCAATTGTTTTTAATGCTACTGGAGTCCTATTTAAAAAGCCCTTTTCTATGTCAGTAAATTGAATCATACGCCCTAAGAATCCTTTTCCCCCCTAGTTATTGATAATTTCTCCTTCATTTTCTTGTTGTTTTAAATTCTTGACTCACCTTTTCTTGTTCCTAATCCCTTGACTACAACTCTCCTGCTCTCCACTCTCTCCTCACCCTGAAATTATTGGAAGGAGATTAGGGTAGAGATGGAGATATCTGTCTACAAAAGAAGACAGTTTGTGGGAAGACTGGAAGCCCCTGCCCACTCAACTATGTATAAGTGATAGAGAATTAATAAGAAAAGTGCACAATCTCCAAATGCAGAAGTTGGGCACTGTGTGAATGACTCATAAAAGGTGAAGACTCGGGGCCTTTGAGCTTCTAACCTTTCCCAGTTCTCCAATCCACCTCCAATCTTGGAAATTTTTTTTTAACTGTGTCTCTAGAAGGAGAAATAGTCTTCCCCTGAGATGAGCCGTATGTGTTTGTTTATATTGTTGCATATATATGTATGTATGTATGTATATATTTATATATATGAATTTGAAAGATAAGGAGGCTATGAATTTGAAAGGGGGCAAAAGGTGGGACATAGATGGGGTGGGGAGAGAAGAGGTAGAAGAGAAATGATGTAAATATATTTCTTTTAATTGCAAAATAAAACCATCTCCCTTTCCACTGTTATCTAGGGGTCCCTGGCCCAATTCTTTGTACTGGAACACAAGAGCCTAGAAATTCTAATAGGTGCCCTCAGGACCCTGATCCATAACTATAACAGAGTCACAATCATCCAAAAGCCACTCAAAAGCACAGATTCATGAAATGTAATGTATAGAAGTATGAAAAGTGAGGTATAAAAGTCTAGACCACATCCCAGTTCTTAGCCTTGCAACAAAATAACTGTTATTTATTAAATTGTATCTCCCTCCCCCCCTCTCTCTCCCATAGTATATTTGAGATTGAGAGTTTTGCTGCAATAAGCATCTGTCTGTCTTTCTATTTTTTCTGAAAAGGTATGGGGAAGTGCTTGCTCAAGAATATATGAACTTGCCATTTTGACAGAACTTCCAAAGTGACCGTTAAAGCCACTAGTGTACAAAACAAAGTAGAGCGATAGAGTCACAACTATATTTCAGATAGTGTGAATGTTATCCTTATGGAGAAGGGCTGCACTTGCTGCATCTTTGAGTCTGTGGCTGAGGTTCAGGATCACACTTACCCAGTCGTCCACCTTCCTTGTTTCACATGCCACAGAGTTTTCAACCCCAGGGTGGCACTGGCCCACTGGGGTCATCACAGAACCTCCAAACTCAGCCTCAGTCTGTTTCAAAGGGTTGTGGGCTATCTCTAGATCTCCTGTTACATTTTGCACCACACAATTACACCCCTTGTCGACAATAAATACACTTAGCTGGACTAGCTTAATGCTTTTCTCTAGAGTCCTTCTCTCTTGAGCTTGTTTTTTGGACTCTTCCTCAAATGTTCCACTTTGCACAGTAGCCGCCCTATAAAAATCCAAACATTAAGAACACATAGAAAGTATGAAACCCATACTTTCCAACCTTACTTCATTCTACTGTGGAAGGTGACCCTCAGCCCAAGTTTTCGAATCTAACCACTGCACCATATATTATTTACATTATTCAAATAAGTCTCCAGGAAGTGGCAAGACAAGGAATTTGTAAGGACATGGAGAATAAAGGAGCAGTAACCCTGAGAACAATTCTCTCTGTGACAACTGTGGGAGTATTTTGATAAGTGTTGGCAGCAGGGTAAAGCATGTGATGTAGGGGAGGAAACTTTGGCATTCAAACAAGCAAATAGTTTGGCGACAATTTCTTAAATTTCTGCCGTGTTTGCAAATGCCCGTAGCAATTTCTCAGACTGCAGAGTTGCTACACGTGACAGGTTCGAGAATGCTTTTCTCAATTTTCACCGAGTAATTCACCCTTCCAAATTAATAATTCCATGAACCCTTTGAATAATTGGAACTATTAAAGCTAAAGCCGTGCTTGGGCTTTCTATATTTAACTTGTGCATTTTGATGTTCTGCTGTAGAATCTGAAGCAAGTCGGGCATCCAAATGGAATCTTATATAATTGTTTTTTGTGTGACTTGGGGGGGGGAATGTATGCTCACATGGGTGTGCCTGGGTGCTGGCGGGAGTGAATGGAGGAGTCTGGTGTCTTCCTCTATCTCCCTCAACCTCATGACAGGGTCTTTCGCTGAGCCTGAAGCTTGCCACTTAAGCTAGGTTTCCTGACCAGTGCGCTCCCAAGGACCTTCCTGTCTCTACTCCCAAAACACTAGAGTTACAGGCACACATGGCCATGCCCAGCTATTCACCCGAGTGCTGAAAATTAGAGCTCTAGTCCTCTTACTTTCAAAACATGTGCTCTTACCTCCAAAGCCATCTCCCCATCTCCAGTTCCATCTCTTTCCTACATATATGTAGTTAGTAAGCGGGTTGCCTGCCATGGCATGCATGTGGCTGTCAGAAGACAACTAAAGGTCATTGCTTCTTTCCTTCCACCAAATAGGAAACCAAACTGTGGACCAAACTCAGACTTGGTGGCAAGTGTCCTTACCCACTGGGCCCTCTTACTGGCCCTAAATTCAGTCTTCATAAATCTTCAGGCTAAAATAGTACCCGTTCCTTCCTAAATGTATTGGCGTACCTGCCTACATTTTAAAGGCAGGCAAGTTGAATGGATGTGTGGTGAGCATCCTAACTGTTGGCACTCATCTCTGCAGCTCCTCCAGGAATGTGGTGCGCTTTGAGTTTATTTCCCAGGAAGAAGCGTCCATTCTAGTGAATTCAATTTGGACTTTCCCATGCCCTCACTCCAGAGGTCATGAAGCCAATGTAGGGTTTCTGCATGCATGCTATCAAGTATCTCTAGTCCAATAATACATTCTGAAACTGGGGAAGTAGCCACTGGATAGATTAGGAAACCTACTAGACCCACTTCAAAATGCACTCAAGCTAAAATTCAATTGATCTCCTGACACCATAAGCTTCTGTTCTAACCGTGGGAGTCTAGGTGTCAGTGTGGAGGCAGTGGCCAAAGTCCATTAGATCCTCAAAGGTCTGATGACTTATTCTTTTCCAAAGCTCAATTCCCCAGTTAAAAAAAAATTAGCTTAAAAAAAAAAAAAAAGCTATTGGTCCTTGTGAGGAAACTAATGGGAAGACTAAACTTACAAAGTTTTAGTGTTAGGATCTTTATCAAGTGTCCCTCCTCAAACCTGAAAATGGGTGGAAGTTGTGGATTAACTGTTTTTCTCCTAACTGTAACAAAATACTGGCTTGGGAGAGGAAAGATTTATCTTGGCTCAGGGGTTCGGAGGTTTCAGTCCATCCTGAGAAGGCATGATGGCAAGAACAGCGGTCCATAGAGGAGGAGGTGTGAATTGGCTGCTCTTCACATGTTGGATCTGAAAGCAGAGAACACAGACAAAAATCAGCAGTGGGTGAAACCTTCAAGTCCTAACCTGGTGACCCATGGCTCATGTCCCTACTTGGGAACAAAGTGTTCAAATTACATGAGCCTATAGAGGACATTTCACATTCAATCCATACCAGGCTGCGACCATTTTATGATTTACATTAGACCAAGAAAGAAGGAACAGAGATGATCTGTTTCATTTCCACAAACACCGTAATCCATCAGCAACACTGTAGGTTTGAACAAAGCAGCCCATTCTGATTGCTGCTTTGATCCTATTGTCCATCACATAACTGCACCCACCACCTGGCCCGTGGTGATTGAGAGCATCCCCTTTTTATCCTCACTACTTTGGGTTTCCTGAGTCAGTAATGGCAGTTTCCACTATTAAATCTTGCCTACAGAGAGAGGCCATGAGCTGTACAAAGTTTCCAGGCCTCCCATCACAAATATATTTCTCACCGTCATTGTGAAATGTGTCATCTTGACCTTCTCAGTATGGGAGAGTAGATCTAAACTGACAGGTTCATTCTAACAGTGCAGTCTTCCCAGGCCTTGGCATCCCTCCATCTGCACTAAACTGAGAGAGTTGATTGTCTACTACTCACTCACAGTGGAACTCCTGTGATTCTTATTTCAGGCAGACAACCAAACTGCTAGAGCCCTATTTATTCATACATTCATTCATTCGTTTTCTGTGTAAAAATGCTTTTTATTTATTTCTTAATGGACAGATGATAACTATACTTTTTCTAGGCTATAATGTGTCTTGGTAGATTTGTAATGGTCAATTTGGGATGTTTAGACTTTCCCTTACCTCAACCATATATCATTTCATTGTATGAGAACTCTGAAGATCCTCTCTCCTAGTTAAATGAGTTATGTAGTATAACATTGTTACCTGTGATCACCCTTCTGTGTAGTAACACACCAGAATACATTCCTCCTCTCTGGCTGGGATTATGTACTGCTAACTAATCTCTTCTTCATCCCATACCTACCCCACCTCCAGCATCCACTCTACTACTTTACTTGGCTCCTATGCACTCAACTTCCTTAGATTTAGTATGAGCAAATCAAGCAGTGTTTGCCCATCTGTGCCTGACTTCCTTATGATTCCATGTTATTGTAAATGACAGGATTTCATCCTGAGTAGCCTTGCATTTTGTACATGCACATTTTGTCCATCTGCTGATGGACATTTAGGTAGAGTGTGTATCTTGGCTATCGTGAATAGTACCGCCTTAAACCTGGAATGCAGATGTCTTTTTGGCACACCTGTTTCAAATCCTTTGGCTATAGATTCAGTAATAGAATTGTTGAATCATGTGGTATCGCTCTACCTTTAACATTTTGCAGATCTCCATACTGCTTTCCTTTACCCACTTCATTGATTTATATTTCCATCACAATGTACAAGACCTCCTCCTCCTTTGCATCCTTGCCAGCATTTGCTATTTATTTCTCCTTTTGATTGGCACTAGAAATTCTAATTTGGATGAGGTAAATGTTGCATTGTAGATGATTTGCATCTTGATGAGGACTGGTGATATATATGGAGCAGTTTGACAGACTTGCTGCCTATTTTATGTGATAAGAGTCCCTTTGAACAGCCAGAGCTGTAACAGTGGATACCTCATCCTAGAAAGCTCATATCGGTAGATTTGGCTAGGTCTAACTTTCTGTTCTTCTCCCCACTATCCCATGCCCTTAATGCCCATCCCTGCACATGCTCCCCACATTTCTACCTGTGTCAATTAGAAACCTCAAATATTTTTTGAAGTGCAATTCATATGGGCCATACCTTGAACCTCACCTTCCAGGAATCTATTTGGAGTTGAGTACAATTAATTATAAGACTAGAAGCAAAAATGACGACTCATCCTGAAGAGAGTCAGCGGTATCAAGCAGGCAACTGCCTCAGAGGGAAGCTATTGCAATCCCCACAGGCAATGTAGGGCTAATCTTAGGTGGAGCTATTACAGGGCATTCAGAGGGCAGTAGATGTATAAATATTGAAAAACAAGGTTTGTGTAATTCTAGCTTTTTAACTTTGCACTTAGTTGTAATCATTTATTGCACTGTAATTCCCTACTTGACACAAATCATCTTGGTGTTCATGATATATTTTATTCTCCTCTCTTTTCTCTGCAATCTACAATATTCAGGCACTGGAAAATTCAAACATCTCTTCTTACATTAATAACAAATCCCTATCATGTTTGTCAATGAGATTTTGAAAATCTACATGGTGATATATAGCTGGTGTCCCAAGTATTAGCAACTGATTATTTAATATTTAAACAGCCTTGTAGACTGACATATTTCTCCAAGTTGTATGAGATTTTATAGTAGTTTGAAGTGGTCTCTCTCAAAATTTTTCTCACTTTACCACTCCCCAAAGTTACCTTTTTTGTAGATGCAGGTGTCTGCTACTGCATACATACATACATACATACATATATATACATACATACATACATACATATATATACATACATACATACATATATATACATACATATATATATGAGAAAGAGAGAGAGAGAGAGAGAGAGAGAGAGAGAGAGAGAGAGAGAGAGAGAGAGAGAGACCCAGAGGACAACTTCAGATATCATCCTCAAAAATGCTGCCACCTCCTTGGAGACAGGACCTTTTACTGGCCTAGACTACATCAAGTAGGCTAGACTGGCTGGCCAGTGAACCCCACGGGTCTGCCTGTGTCTAGTGCAGGAGTCACAGAAAAGGCCACCACACCTGAAATTTCTTATGTGGTTCTGGGAAAGGGCATTAGACATCACTTTAGAAAGCAAGATAAAAAAAAGAACAGATGTGTCTGCTTTTTCTCCCCAGTTAACTTTTTCTTCAAGGCCTCCACAAAAGTTGGAGTTGTTTTGGCAGTGATCATTTACCTTGGATCAACTAAATAAGTAGAACCAGAGATACAGTAAAGAGAGTTTGCCTATTTTACTAGTGAAAATAGAAAATAGTTTATTTTGAACCAAATATGAATATGAATAACTCTGGCCCAGGAACACAGATTTAAATTGCTGAGAGGTAATCCATCAACATATATAAATAATACACTGATGGGTGTTGGATAAGCAGGACATAGCAGACTTGGAAGTCTTTTCTATGGATTTTAGTTGCCATAGCATTTTTATTGCAGCTTTAAGGATAGAGATCTGTTGTGCTTAGAAGATATGAATTTACCTATAAACTCATAAAGTAGGTAAGACAATGAAAGTTAACATAAATACTAGTAAAGATCTTGTGATAGCTCTAGAATTATTAAATCCATCTCTCCGCAATCACAGTGTTCCGGGCTAAGGTCATTCTGCAGGATCTTTAATATAGATGTGATTTATTCAGAGAACTGGAGCTTGGTGAGGCAGCGAATTAACGTAAGGAAGAAAAGGACACAGTGTAGTCCAGTATAGTAAGCTTTCTTTTTGGTGAAAATGGGGTTAATTAATTAATGACTTTTTATATATTAAATAGTTTAGACCTACAGGAAAAAAAGGAACAGGTAGGGTAACCACTGCCGTGCAGCCATCTGCAGTACTAGTGTCTGGATGCTGAGTCCCCATAATTGCCACACTGAGCCTGAGTTCAAATGTGATCGCATCAAGGACAGGACAGGTGGGAAGTGATTAAGTCACTGGGTAGCATCCTCAAGACTGGAACTAGTGCCTTTATAAAAGATGCCCTGGGCAGCTGCCTTTCCCCTCCTACCATACAAAAATGTAATGAAATGGATTCATCTATACCTCAGAATGTGGAGCCTCGTCAGACATTGAAGCTGCCCTTACCTAGACTGTGAAGGCCCCTGCCTCTGCAATTGTAAGAAACACAGTTCTATTGTTTATAAACTCTCTGACGTACAGCATTTTATTACAGCAGTCTCCACAAACTAAGGTGCTTGGGTTAATGATTTGTCACATTTCGCTGCCACTTTATTCTTCTAAAGTATTTTTATCATAAACTACAAGTAGTATAATATTTTATCTCCACTCTTCAGCGTATATCTTCTTTAAACATACTATTTTCTTATATAAAAAGTGGCGCACAACTCAGGAGGCAGAGCCAGGTGGATCTTTGTGAGTTCGAGGCCAGTCTGGTCTACAGAGCGAGATCCAGGAAAGGCACAAAGCTACACAGAGAAACCCTGTCTTGAAAAACCAAAAAAATAAAAAAAAAGTGAATTTTACTTCTGAAATCTTTAAGATTAAAAGAGGACATTTCTAGTATTAAAAAGCATTCATTATCATTCTCGTCACTGTCTCTTCTACTAGCAAAGGAGAAGAGAAAAATACTTGGACTTGTGAGAATAGGTCCAAGCAACAGCCGAGACTTTCTGTTTTGGTGTTTCCAGAAAGGACCTGACAGAAGGAAGCCAAGTTCTCTTTTGCCTTGAACTATTGATGACTGTGGTCAAGTTAGGCCAAAAGCTGAGGCTCTCCTCGTTGGGAAGTGTTATACAAAGATTTGGCTAAACACTGGATGTTTTTGCTTAAGAATTTAGTCAAGGGGGCCCGGAAGATGGCCAGTCAATAAAAACATGAGGACCTGAGTTTATTTTGTTTTTGTTTGTCTTTAGAGATAGGATTTCTCTGTGTAACCCAGAGCATCCTGGAACTCACTCTGTGGACCTGACAGGCCTCGAACTCAGCAGTCCACCTGCCTCTGCCCCGCCAAGTGCTGCAATTAAATGCATGCACCACCACTGCCTGGCAAGGAGCTGAGTGTAACACTTAGCAAGAAAAAAATCAGGGAGGACGTTGGATGTGCTAAGATGTAAGTGGTGATGAGGGACATTGAGAAGAGGGAGAGGCAAAAATGAAGGGAGGGGAGTCAAAACTAAGAATGTATAAAAAGCCCTTAAGGGAACCTACTCAGGAAATTAATCTAAAAACAAAATTTTACACACACACACACACACACACACACACACCTGGAGCTGGAGTCATGGCTACAGTCTCAGATAGGAAAGTAGACAAGCAGGCATCCCTGAGGCACACTACCCAGCTAATCTAGTCAAATCCCTGACCTCCAGGTTTAGTGAGAGACCCTGCGTCAAAGGGTGGAGAGCTATTGAAGAAGAAACTAATCTACCTCTGGCCTCTACATGCACAGAGACGCATGGGCATGTGCACATGCACACACAGAATCTCAGTCAATACATTAAAATGTTGACAGTCAATACATTAAAATGTTGACAGTCAATACATTAAAATGTTGAAGACAGTAAGAAGAGAATACAGAAAAGCATGAAAGAAAGATTTGGAGAGTGAGGTGGGGGAAGATGGCCTTATAAACCTAAGTCATACACCACAGTCAAAACATCCCTTCTTCTGTCTGCGTATATCCCCTTCCTCTTCAACCATTAAGAAGGTAAGGTTTCTTTATTTTGTTTTATGTGTATAAGTGCTTTGCCTGCGTGATTCCCCCAAGGTCAGAAGAGGACATCAGATCACAAGGAAATGGACTTAGGGATGGTTGTGAGTCACCATGTGGGTACAGGAAATCAAACCTGGGCCTTCTGCAAGAGCAACAAGTACTCTTGACCACTGAGACTTCTCTCTAACTCACTGCCTGGTACTGTAAGCCTGGTCAAAAAATACAGCTGGCAAAGTCCTAGGTCCTAAGGAGGAGCTGACTGCTTTATTAGTTAATTGACAACATGAAAACGACTTCTAAATATTTATGTTTATGCACACAGGCAAATGCTTCTCTCTGCCTTAATCAGAAAAACCCCTACTTCCTTGCGTGATGGCAAACACAGAGATTGACAGCTTCTCAAGGTGATGAGAATGAGTGACAGCTGAGTATTTAGCCATGAACAAGTCATTTATATCACCCCCTCTGAGGGTCAGGGAACTTGGAGAAAGAGAGGACAGAAAGAATATTTAAGAGCCAAAAGATAGGGAGAAGGGCCTGAGATGCTATCTTCTGGGCAAGGCACAGCCATTGCAGTTAGGAAGTAATGGCAGCTGCTCCAGACTGTGCCTGTCAATGCCAGGAACTCCTGGAGTCCTACTCCTGTCTGTTGAACTGTTGGCTACTGAAATATTCTGGGAGAGAAGAGTCATTGACTTCAGCTCTGTACCCACTAGTTAAGCCCACCAAGCACCAATGGCTAGTTCCAAACACATAGCCACACAGACAGCCTTGACTAAACTCAGTGCATCACAAAACAAAACCAAAAGACATGATTGTGAGAAAGGAGTTTTTGTGCAGCTAACAAGAGTGGAATGGAGATAAGAGAGGGTGGGGTGGGAGCAATTTAGGACTCATATACACATTTATGAAATGTACATGTCTAATAAAATACAGTTTTGTTATGAGAATTTAATTCTAAATTAGAAGACTCCAACATAACGGCAGTTTAGTTTTATTCTTGAAAATGTCTTTAAAATTCCATCTCTCGGTCCTGTTTCCTACATAAAAAGAAACAATTTTGCAGACATTGTATGGGGTGTCAACCCACAGGGTGTCAAGAAACAATTAACATTGATTCTGGAGTGGCCTGTGAATCCTGAAAATCTTTTATTTTCAGTACTCTAGAATGAGTAGTATCTATTCTACAAAGGGGTGACAGGAACCACAACTTCTGCCCAGACTCTGACCCTGTATTATCCACCCCAAAGTCATCTTATGTACAGACAAGCATTTGAATTTCTGTCTCTGACCTTAGTGCCTTAAGAATCAGCAGGAAGGCTTTCTTCATGTTATCATTCCAGGGAAGAGAACACTGCAGAAGACTGTCCTAACTTCTGAGTGTCCACATCTGGAAAGTCCAAGGCAAGTCTTAAAATCAAATAAGCAAATAAGGAAGTGTTACAGAAGAAAACATCCCCCTTTATGAAAATACATTTTAGTCTTTGAGAATTTTGTACCATTTATTTTGAACATATTCCCCCACCCTTCTCAACCTTCCCATCCTTTCCCATTCATCTTTGAGATTCGTTCTTTTTTTCTCTCTCTCTTCTTTCTCTATCAAGTCCAGTTCGTGTTGTCCATCTTGTCCTTGGATTACAGCCTGCTCTGGTGTGTGGTCAGTTTACCAGAGGTCACATCCTGGGAATGAGTTACTTCTTTTTGAGTTGTTGGCCAATGGTGTCACATTGATCCCGTAACATTGCAGGTTATTGCCAATACTCCTGGTCACCATCCAGACCATGCCAGTAAGACCTTATTGCTGAAGACACCACATTCCTGAATCACAGAACATGGAAACATCAAGCTGGTACTCACCTTCAATCTTCATCCCTACTGGCTAGCATCTCTCGTACTGGAAGGTGCTAGAAGGAAAAAATAAATTTCAGTCTCATCCAGCTTTGAACCCTGAAAGTTACAACAGTGAGTGACCCGACAACTCACTGGGGAATAGGGGTACAAATGCTGTGGAAGTAATGGACCACTTCCAGACTGGATGAGGGGCCCACGCTATGAGATGGAATCTATACCTGACACTAGTGTTAAAGGGGCCCAGACCCTGTAGCTAGATAGGTCATTGATCTTAGAGGAGAACCCATCCCTATTACTTTGCTAAATGGTATTAAAATAACCCTTAATGCCCCCCTTTAGTTCTCCCAAGGGAAAAAAATCTTGGCTTATGGGGAGAAGAGAACATTGACACGCTGTTATCAATCCTGAAACTAGGTGTTAATCTGCTGCTGCTATTCTAGTCTGCAATTTTTTTTTCAATCAGCCAAAAGGAGCATTCCAGAAAGACTAAAATCATCCACCTGTTAGAGTGGACAGATCCAAGAACACAGAAGAGTTCCAGCATCTTTGGGAAGGAGAAGACATCAGTCTGTTTCGTGTCTTTGGCACTCAGTTCCCACATATGTCCTGTTTATTCCTGCTCTCTGTTGCCCTCTGGAAGTTCACTCTTTTAAGGTGGAAATGTGATCTTTTGTCCTCTGGAAGTTCACTCTTTTAAGGTGGAAATATGAAGCTGAGATGCTGGTAGGCAATGCTATTTCACTTGTATGTGTACATGTTCATGGAGATAGAGACACAAACCACGAACCACCTATTTTGGGCTGCTTTTTATCCACTTATTTAAGTTGAGATACAAATTAAACTCTATCCTCCAAAAGAGTGCCTTGAAGAGTAGTTACATGGGGAAAGAACTCTATCTTTTCTTTTAAAGTTATGTTTTTCTTTCTCGGTACAGTGGCAGATAGGCAAATAGGCAAGGGAATAGAGTCTGTTACTAAAAATTCAAGTATTAATGTGGCTAATTTAGCCACATGCATAAAAAACTTTTAAAACTGTCCAGCTTTTCAACTTATTACTATGGTTTAAATGGAATTAAATATTCTTCCCAAAATTCAGGTTGGGAGCTGGTGGTCTGTGTCTCAGTTGGTAAAACACTTGCTGCACAGCATGAGGACCTGAGTTTGGGTCCCCAGGGCTCACATGAAAAGCCTGGCATGCTGTGGAGTGTGCCCCCCACAGGGCAAGGGGAGGCAGAGATGAGATCCCCCAGGCTTACTGGCCAGCCGGTTATAATACAAATTATACCAGGAAATTGTCATGTACTGTCTGTGACTGCCAAGAACTGACGCTAAGGACAAGACAGGCTACCATGTCTTAGACTGCAAGCATGTTTAATGCAAATGTCCTCCCAAACATTCTTTCATGGGACAGGCTGCCTCCGCAGCAGAGAGAAAGGAAAAGAGCAGAACATCCCAGGAGTTAACACATGGTGCCCTGGGAAACAAGAGAAGAGTAAATCATTTGAGAAAAAAAAAAAAAAGAAACAAAAAAAACGTTGTGTTCTTTAGAGCAGCTAGAGGAGAAATCTTTTCCAACAGAGATTACTGTTGTCTGTCAATGGCATAAAGACTTAGTGGGAACAAGAAGGTAGAAGCTCTTCCATGGAGAAATAGCTCTGCCGGTCTGGAAATCACTGTTACGAGCTTCAACATTGGGCCTGGAGGGATGCTTCGGTGACTAAGAGCACCGGCTGATCTTCCAGAGGACCCACTTACATTTCCCAGCATCCTCATGATAAACAGTGCTCAGCTGTCTATAACTCCGGTTCCAGAGAATGCAACCGTCTTCTGCCCTCTGTGGGCACCGCGTGCCAAACATACAGATATGCAGACATACGTGTAGGCCAAACAGCAAACACATAAAATAAAATGAAAAAGGGTTTGTTTGTTTGTTTGTTTGTTTGTTTGTTTGTTTGTTTGTTTTTTCAAAAAGAACTTCGGCACAACCATTCCAGAAGGGCCTCCCCAGTCATCTCCACTGGGTGCTGGAAACATCTGGTGTGATGATATTTTGCTGTCTAGATGTTGTTTCTGTCTGCTACTTACTCTTTGTTTCTTTTAACTCTTGTTTACTATGTACTTAATAAACTCACACATTCCAAACTAAGAAGTACAGCTTAGTCCCCATACAGAGTCCCAGTCTAGCCGAATTTCAAAAATAAAGTGAAGAGCAAATGAAGAAGATACTGATGTTGACCCTTGGTCTATGAATACAGTTGTGTGTTCACATGCACACACACGAACACATACACACACACACACACACACACACACACACACACACGAACACACATACACGCACACCCTTAGGTTGAAATTTAATCTTTATTGTGAAGTATTAACAGGTAGGACCTTTAGGAAGTGATTCGGCCATGGAGGCTCTACCCCTAGTAATAGGTCCATTTCCATTAGTTGATTAATGGATTATCTTCAGACTGGATGTATTATAAAAGCCACGTTGGGCTGGGGATGCAGCTTTGTGGTAGGTAACATGCCTAGCATGTGCAAAATCCTGGGTTTGATTCCCAATACTATAAACGGGGTGGGGGTGGGGAGAAGGGGGTGGCTAACCTCACTCTTATTTGTGCCTCTCTATACATGTGACATCATGAGAGTCCTCACCAGCAAGAAGGTCCTCACAAGAGGTTTTTCGAGACAGGGTTTCTGACTGTTCTAGAACTCATTCCGTAGACCAGGGTGGCCTCAAACTCAGAGAACTCCCTGTCTCTGCTTCCTGAGTGCTGGGATTAAAGGCTTGCACCACCACTGCCCAGCTAAGACTATTCTAAAACTGACTGATCTTGTAAAATGTGCTCTTCTAGCAAGGTCATAAGACTAACTGCTATTTCTGCTTTTGTCATCAAACTTGCTTACTCTACTCAGTGACTAGGACAACCTCAAGACATATATGTTAGAGAATACATGTAATCTTGTAGCTCCCGACTTTACAAGCCTTGGGCTGATATGGCCAGGTGCTGTATCTTGGTTGCTCTCTTGGTTGCAGCCCTGGTGCCATGAGTATCCAGCACCAGTATTTAATAAAGCCTCTTCTTATTAGATTTCATTTATGGTCATGGTGAATCTCAGAGTGACCCCAGAGCCATACACCAGCCTCCAAAACCATGATCAAAAACTCCTTTATAAGTTACCTGGAGTAGTCAGTTAAAGCAAAAAATGGGACAGTTATGTATCCAGTACCCTGGAGAGATAGTAAAGCTTAACTTTTGGTTGACTTAAAAATGACACTGTTATGTTAAAAAAAAAAAACATTACATTCTTGTTACATCTGTGTAGTTATCCAGTAGCCAAATAGTCACTGAATGCTCATTAACTGACAAGCAAGTTATTAGACAAAAAGAATATAAAAATGGTCCAAAACTACATAGACTGCCTTCATGGAACCAGCCTATTAGCTTTTGAAAAACCATGATGAGTTAAATGTAAAAACCCAGCTCTGATGCAAGGGAGGCAGCGGAACAAAAACTTTGAATACGAGGGTTTGATTCCACAGTGAGGGAAGGGTTTCTCCTAAGAAAATAGCTATTGAGCAGAGGCAGGAGGCTGAGTGGGCACCAAACAGATTTAATGCTGTATGAGGGATTCCCTAGAGAAAAAAAAAAAAAACTGAGAGAGTAACTATGTGTTTTTTAAAAGGATATTTATTAGATCAGCTCACACAGTAGGGGCTGAGTAGTTCAAAAATGGCTCTCTCTGCTCTGTTAGGCTGAGAAGCCAATAGCTGCTTGGTCCACAAAGCTGGATGCCTTAGTCATCACAATCTTCTAGTGAAGGCCTTGAAGAGTCCTAGTCCATGTTGGAAGACTAGAGACACTGAAGTCTGCCGTCAACAAAGGATGATGGCAGCAGTAATGGAGTAGATACACTGACCAGCAAGAAGTCTAGTCAGGGATGCATGCAGCACCGCATTTCCCTCAGACTTCTTTATATCTGGGCCGACCCAGGAAGATGCTACTTGCTAGAGGAGCGTCTTTAATCCTTCTTGGAAATGTCTCACAGACCTAGGCAAAAGGAATCTCTCTTAGTTGACTCCAGATCCAATCACCTGATAATCAAGATTAACAATCACAAACAGACAGAATCTCAAAGCAATTCCACTTTGAGGTTAAGCATAGGGATCCTCAGTTAGTCAAGTATGAGTCAAACCTCACTCTGTGTGACGTCAGTCCAGTCATTCAGGTTACTTTAGCAGAATGGCAGAGATGGAGGCATAAGCAATGAGAACTCATCTCTCACAGGTTTGGGAACTGAGAAGCCCAAGGTTGTTTAGTAAGGGTCCCCTTCCTGGTTTGCTGAGTGCCATTTTACAAGGCGTGGTGTCTCCTCCTCTTAAGGAACTAATCCTGTCCATATTGGTCCTACGTTCACTGTGCAACTACAATTCAAAGACTACAGCTTCTAACACCATCACTTTGGCAGTCAGGACCTCCACAGATGAACTTCAGAGAGATGCAAACATTCATCCCACAGCAAACACCCACAAGCCATGATGACTCTGGCATGTTGTTCAGCCTTTCTATTCTAGATAGCTCACCTACAAAACAAAGTCATGTTCCTTTATTTAATATGATTGTTATGAAGAGTAAGTCCAATAACATGGCAAGACTTGAGCATCATATCTCAGATAGCATACATTTAATTACTGCCAGAAAATAATCCATTTAAGTGAGAGTAAAGGACCAACTGAAGAGGAAGAACAGCATGGGCAAAGGTTCTGTAGGAACTTGGTGAAAATAAAAAAGAAAGAGTGTGGGGGAATCTGGTTTGATTTCTGCTTTTATTCTAAAAGGTGCTGGGAGCTCCCGCGGATTTCAGGATGGGGTATTTTGTAGATTCCATCCTCCTCTTGACTTAATGCTACAGCCTCATGGGACTACTTTCCTTCTCCAGTACATGTTGCATGTCTGTGTACACAGCCATCCTTGTTCATGATTTTCTTTCTGACCATCCTCTATACAAAGAGATCTCCTCAGCCTCTCTGAACAGCCCCCTGCCTC